TAATACCTACGTGTGCTAAACCACCGAAGTTGTATGGGTTACCAAAAATACACAAGCCCAATGCTCCACTACGTCCTATAGTGAGCCAAATCGATTCACCAACTTACAGATTGGCTCAATACTTAGCGAATATACTCTCACCGCTCAAGGGACATACAAGAGCACACACAAAGGATTCCTACCAATTTGTCAGCGAGATTAAAGACCTACATCTGGCAGACAATGAAACTATGGTGAGTTTTGATGTGCAGTCTCTATTCACATGCCTACCTGTTGAAGACTGCATCTCGATTGTTACTAGAAGGCTAGAGGAAAACAACATGCCCGTAGAATATGCAGTATTACTCAGACACTGCCTTACATCTGGCTACCTATTGTGGAAGGAGGAGTTCTACAAGCAAGTAGATGGAGTGGCGATGGGCTCACCTGTATCTCCCATTGTCGCCGATATATTCATGGAGGACTTTGAGGAGAAAGCCCTGCTTACTTCTCCCATAAACCCAAGATTCTACAAGCGGTACGTAGACGACACTTTCACAATTCTACCTTTAGATAAAGTAACTGCATTTTTAGACCATCTTAACTCCTTAAATTCTAAAATTCAGTTCACAATGGAGTTAGAGGCAAACAATTCTTTAGCTTTTCTAGATGTATTAGTAATTCGGAATCCTGATAACACCTTGAGCCACACTGTGTATAGAAAAAAGACCCATACAGATAGATATTTAAACGGTGATTCTCACCACCATCCTTCACAGTTAGCTACCGTGGGTAAATCTTTGTTTCAGAGAGCACGAGGGATCTGTGACAGTAAACACCTGGCCGCCGAGCTCCAACACGTCAAGCAAGTTTTGCACGACAATAAGCTTCGGGTCCCGCGCCTACGTCACAGTGAACGAGTGAAGCCGGCCACAGTCGAGCGAGTGCCTGCTGTACTGCCATATGTCAGAGGTGTCACTGACAAGATTGGCTACATCTTGAAGCGTGCTTCCATTAAAACATATTTCAAGCCGCCGAAGAAGATTAGTCAGTTTTTACCATCAGTCAAGTGTAATATTCCTCTGCAAGATGCAGGAGTGTACAAGCTGGATTGTGAATGTGGTCTCTCTTATATAGGACAAACTAAAAGATCCATAAAAACCCGCGTTAAAGAACACATAGCTGATGTGAAGAATAGACGCTCCGGGAAGTCTGCAGTCTGTGAACATGTACAGGATCGCCCCCGTCACTACATTAGATTTGATAGACCACAAATCCTCGCTAAAGAACACCGATTCCTTCCAAGGATGATTCGCGAGGCTATTGAAATCAAAAAACATCCTAATTTCAATAGAGAAGATGGCTGGGTGCTACCATCTGCTTGGGATCCCATAATTAATAAAATTAAATCCCAACCAAAGCATACAACTGCAAGACTTCATGATACTGTAAGTTCATACTGCGTAGATCGGAACAAAAATTAATAATTTTTAATCTGGAGGTAGCCGTGGTTAACTATGACATTGGGACGTCATACACCTCAGTCCCCCCCGTGACCATGGGTGCTGTAAAGTGCTTGAAACGTCGGGAATGTAAAATAAGTTAATATACGCGATAAAATCCGTAAAATTAGTTTCATTTAAATTCTTTCACAAATTTCCAACTAAACCTATTTTTTGGCTAAATGTGGTCCGTGTAGCTCGCTGCGTATTGGACTCTGCCTATTCCCTTGGAGATTACAGGCGTAACAATATGGTTATGTATGTATGGTCGTAAATGCAACTGCTGATCACGAATTCTTGGATTCAAATTCCGGATCGTGAAAAAAAACCGCAATTGAGTTTTTCTGTAAAGAAATTCTCAGAAGCTGCCTGGAGTCGGTAAGTTGTTGATGTTTCAACTCCGTGTCTTGGAAAGCACGTAAAGCCACTGGTCCTGTGTCTGATCTCTCTCTGGTTGTGACAGCTTATCATCCCATCAGACTAGTAGGGGAGAAAGGGAATAGAGAGTGCACCTATGCAAGCGCATATACTCGGGCACTACAATCCTATCCAGCGCAGACAGATAGCTATCTCCGTTGAGGCTGACCGCTGTGACCGAAATTCGGTTTGGATGACATTATTATTTTTATTAGGTTTTTATGAAACGACAGTATGTCAAATTTAGACGTAATCAGTAGCTGAAACTTATTTTTCTGCATCCGCATTACTACGGACAAGCAAAATATTACGTTCTTGGCCGTACACAACCAACACAGTATACACTAGAATTCGTTTAACTCTAACAGAATATTTAAGAAATTCTGTAATTTTTAATACAATCAAAAAAAAAGAAAACAAATATTAAAAAGAAATAACAGTAAATATTATTATTCTGTGCAAGAGTTCGCAGCCGTTGTTGCAATTAAATTATTAAGTAAGTTCGTTAGAAAACAAAGTTAGAAGACTACAGTGTAAGCTAAATTTGCATGCTATATGATGGCAGAATTTAAAAGGATTAATTATCAAAACGTAACACATACCTGATTTGTATTACATTAACTTAGCCAATGATTATAGAAAGCACCACGTTACCGCCGTACACTTTACATAACCATTAGGTGACATAAAATTATGAATCAATTTTGCAATGGTCAAAAACTCAAAAGCGAAGTAATTGACTTTTAAAATCCCACTATTGGATATTATATGCTTGTGAGAAATTTTGTAATTGAGAAAACTTCTTAGACATAATATTTATTAGTTTATTGTATGTTTCTACGAGGTCAGTTGAGGGTTTTTTTTTATAGGATAGCGTGACAAACTAACACACAGTCCACTTGATGGTAAGTGATTGCTGTGACTAATAGACATCTACATTTATCGTCAATTAAGAATCAAAATGCAGATGCGTTGTCACCCGTGGGGATAAAGATGGAATAACTCTTTTCCAGCAAAATGGGTCCGTTTCTCTAAACTCACCATACGAAACATAGCAGTGTCAAGCTGCGATTTTACGCTGGTATTCTGTGAGAGCGTGGTCTTTCCCCGGTCGAGCCAACCCATTCGTGCTACAACTTTACTATTATTATAGCTGCAGCATGGCTCTACCACGTAGGGTTCGTAAAAAAGGCCTGACACATCATTCTTATACATCAATACATACGAACACAGTTGCTAAGTTGAGCTAAGTTTAGTGTTTTATTTATTTAATTATTTTGTATTACTATTTTAAATCACAATCGAGGCTAGTTAAAATCCAATAAAACATTAGGTATCGTAAGACAGCTTTCGTATAGTTTACATGATAGAATAGTCAACGGCATCGGTAATGAGTAACCAACATTAGCAGTTCATCTGTTATAATATTTATACACTAGCGAACCCTCATGGCTACGCCTGGGAATTGAGGATAATTAGAATTAAGATAAAAATTTTAGTTTTTATTGCTTAGATTTATAGTTTATTAAATGTTTCTAATGTTTTGATATTTTGTTTCTTTTTGTTAGCTTTTACTAATATATATTTTAAAATTGATTTTGGCTAAGACCTGCAAGACCCGCCGCAGAAGAACACAAAACTTTCCGATCACACTCTTAATCTCAAGGCTATTAGACGGGAAATGAAGCTGCAGTCTTCAACAGATTTGACAGCATACAGGCAACTGAACAGACAGATCTCCAAATGCATGCGGCGGGACTTACGCAACTTCAATACAGCTTATATTGAAGAAGCGATCGAGCGAAACCAATGCTCCAAAGTCTTTGCCAGAGATCTGTCTGCCAGAAAGAGCCAACTGTCGAAGCTGAAGACCGATTGTGGCAGCATCGTTTCCGACACCTGAGATTTTGAGTTAGATTGAGAGATTCTGTGGGCAGCTGTACACGTCATCGTTGGAGCCACACGCAAGTGAGTAACGATTCAAGAGCGAGTCTTATCCACCACTATTCCGATGATATCCCGAACGTCAGTCTGAGTGAGATTAGAATGGCTCTCCAGCACCTTAAACACGGCAAGGCCCCAGGCGAGAATTACAGCAGAGCTTCTGAAAGCGGGTGGAAAACTGGTACTTGAAGTCGTTCAGAGGCCCTTTAATTCCGTCCTCCATGGTGGTACTACTCCGGAGACGTGCAGCAGAGGTGCGGCAGTCTTGTTCTTCAAGAAAGGCGATAACGCTCTTTTGAAGAACTACAGACCGATTTCCCTTCTGAGCTGCTTCTACGTGTTGTTTTCGAGAGTCATTACGAATCCTCTCGCACGCAGACTCGACGACTTTCAGCCTTCCGAACAAGCCGGTTTCCAAAAAGGCTTTAATACCATAGACCACATACACACCCTTCGGCAAATTGTACAGCAGACAGAAGATCTGCCACTTTGACTTGCGTATGTGGACTTTGAGAAAGCCTTTGATTCCGTCGAAATTGAGGCGGTGTTACAGTCTCTTCAGCGGTGCGAAGTTGACCATCGGTATATCGAAGTACTAAAATGTTTGTACAGTAGGGCTACGATGGCTATCCGAGTACAGAATCAGAATACAAAGCCTATCGAACTGCAGAGAGGTGTAAGACAGGGTGACGTTATATCCCCGAAACTCTTCACCGTTGCATTGGAAGACGTTTTCAAGCTACAGGACTGGAATGGATTCGGTATTAACATTAATGAAGAGTACATCACTCACTTTCGATTTGCTGACGATATAGTCCTTATGGCAGCATCGCTGGAGGACCTAAGCACTATACTCAATGACCTCAATAGTGTCTCCCAGCGGATAGGTCCTAAGATGAACATGGACATAACAAAGATCATGTTTAATGTCCATGTAACACCTATGCCGGTAGTTGTTGGGAGCACTAAGCTCGAATTTGTTGATGAGTATGTTTACCTGAGACAAATGGTCCGACTAGGTAAGTCCAACTTCGACCGAGAGGTTAATCGACGGATTCAACTCGGTTGGGCAGCGTTACGACTTACATTAAACGTACTCGTATATCGGGAAAAGACAATGTCGTCGCTGACCCACTCTCACGTGTCGAAGAACTGCAGATGCCTATCGACTTAGACGTGCTTGCTTCATCTCAAGCATCTGATCGAGAGCTGACTCAACTTCTGGGAGGTGAATCTTCACTCCGCCTTGAAAAGTTGAGAATTCCTAACTCTCAAATGCAACTTTATTGTGACGTCAGCACGTCTACACCTAGGCCTTTTTTTACCAAGCCGTTGAGGAGACAACTCTTTGACAGTCTTAACAGCTTTAGCCACCCAGGCGCCATTGCTAGTACTAAATTAGTAGCAGAGCGATTTGTCTGGCCTGGCGTTCGTATAGACTATCGTGAGTGGTCTCGACCATGCTTGGCTTGTCAGCGCGCTAAGATTCATCGGCACATTTTGCCACCATTAGGCACGTTTGATCTACCCCGCGCCCGATTTACTTTTGTTCACGTGGACATTATTGGCCCCCTCCCTATTTCTCAGGGTTACCGCTATTGCTTGACTGCGGTGGATCGTTTCACATGATGGCCAGAAGTAATACCAATGGCAGACATAACAGCCGAGACAGTTGGAAAGGCATTAATATCGTGGATATCCAGATTTGGATGCCCAACCGATATTGTCACTGATCGTGGTCAACAATTTGAATCGTCACTTTTCCAGTACCTTGGAAAGATGATTGGATTCAAGCATCGTAGAACAACCGCGTATCATCTATCTTGCAACGACCTAGTGGAACGAATCCACCGTCAGTTAAAGGCAGCCATAATGTGCCACGCTGATAACAATTGGGTAGACACGTTGCCTCTGATATTATTGGGTATTAGGAGCTCATTTAATGAGGACCTGCGAACATCATCGGCCGAATTAGTTTATGGCGAGCCTTTACGTATACCAGGCGAATTCTTCCAAGCCGCAGCTCTCGGCTCAATAGATATATCTGACTTTACCACCCGACTGCGGCAAATAACATCAAAGCTGCAACCTTCACCTGCTGCACGTCACAATAAAGTAAAGATTTTTATAGACAAGGACTTATTTGCGTCATGTCATGTATTTTTAAAGGACGATGCATTACGTGGCTCTTTGCAGCCCCCTTACACTGGTCCGTACCAAGTATTAGAGCGTAATGCGAAAACGTTCGAAATATTAATAAAGGGTAAAAGCGTCACGGTATCCATAGACCGTCTAAAACCGGCCTAAACATCCAACCCCAATCTCGGTTCCTTCCTTGATCCTGTTCCCAAATAACTTAATACTCCAGCTCAGGATGACGTCAGAAGGACGCGTTGAGACCGCACAGTTCGATTTCCAGATTTTTATCACCCGTAGTGACGGTCTCTGGGGGGAAGTGATGTAGCCTACTTATTGTATATTATACGTACATATACATATTATACACTTATAATTTATTTTATATATTTACTAAATTATACTATACAGATATAAACTTACATCTTTACTTCTATCTAACTATTTACAATCAAAAAATAACATAAATAACATAGTCACAAAATGATCACAATACAAATTAAATATTTAATTAAATATTATTTACATTCGCCTTATTGTGCATTGGAAACGCGTACTCCGTCAATTTCATATAGCTATTAATTTGTATGTTGTGTCGTGTGGAACTATGTATAATTTGTGTAATTGTCTATAGTGAATAAATGTTAACTTTACTGTGTACATTTGGACTTAATTAATTTTTGCCAGACTGTGACCCATACACATTCAACCACACACACCATCTCGCTATATAACTATTCATATGAATAGCCACTTCCTTTTATATGTGCATGTTCTTTTTATCTGTATTTAAGCTAGAAACCGTCTTAAACAATGTATGTTTTGTAAAATTTAAAAACAAGTTTGTTATGTGCATACTTTCCGATTCAAGAAAAAAACGACCTTAGTTTTTCCGTCAGAAACGGAATGAAATTTTAATCTGAAATGATCGCTAAGCCCCGCCAGCTTCCGCGGAATTTATTCACACTGCCACTGCGGTGACTTTATAATGAGACACATGCTCGGTGTGAATCTTTGTCCGCTGTAAAGGTTCTGTAACAGTAGTGACTTATTTTGCTGTTATTTGTTTATTTATTTATTTAATTAATTAATATTATTGCACAACATACAAAACCCACACAGACTATACAAAAGAAGTATATTATTGTATATATTACATTTGTATATAAAAAGATGAATTTTAACTAATTAAGATCCCAGTAAGTAGCTACGTCTTTAATTATTGTGTTGCAGCTACATATCTATCGTCTACATCCCAAATTAAATACACCACTTGATAGACAAAGGGTCGAAGAATTCGTTACGATGAGTGACACGCGGCAGAGGGGGAGCGCCGCCATTTTGCTGCGGTTTCGTTACGTCCACTTATTCACGAAAAATATACGGCGGTGTCAACGACAAGGCTTCAGCCCAATTTTTATGCAATGAAAGTTACTTAGTATGTCCACCTAATGATAAGTGGCTCCTGCATAACATGAAATCAACTTCAAACAAAGGCTACAAAGATTTGCTGTTATTATACTGGCTTCCATACCCATCAGGCCGGAACATGTACCGGCAATCACTGGTTTTGCGGCCTGTCCAAGCCCATTGCAGAACATGAGTGGGAGTCCCCGTGACCGTACTATAAAACACATGAAACTTGGGCAATTATAAATTAAAATTAAAAGCAATTAAATTAAGATTTTTTTTTTATAGGATAGGGTGACAAACGAGCAAGCAGTCCACCTGATGGTAAGTGGTTGCTGTGGCCCATAGATATCTACACCTATCCTCGTTTGCGAATCAAAATGTAGATGCCTTGTCACCCGTGAGGACTAAGACGGAATGCCTCTTTTCCAGTAAAAAGGGTCTCCGGTTCTCTACACTCACCATACGAAACACAGCAGTGGTAAGCTGCTATTTTACGCTGGTATTCTGTGAGAGCGTGGTCCTTCCCCGGTCGAGCCGACCCATTTGTGCTACAATTACATTTATTACATTTACTTGAAATCAAGAAGATGCTGCTACCCATCCCATGTTAAGTTTACCACTATTGCCTGTTAGGATATCCACCGGATGACTTTGGGTAATGGATTTTCTTGCATCACCCCCACACGGTATAAATGTTTATCATGTGGGGATGATGCAAGAAAATCATACATAAGACAATATCGTCATAATGATCATCATCATCCTTATTACAGCTCTTCACAAGACTGAACATATGCATCCTCCAAAAATAACGCACGCACTTGCATTGATTTATATCGACTTCCTGTATATCTAACTATGTCGTCACTCTATCTGTTGGGGGTCCACCCTACTGTTCGCTTACCGCTACGAGGCTGTTACTTAACAACCTTTCGTACCCACTGGTTGACAGTTCTTCGAGATATATAGTAGTGGCCCATAGAGAATAACCAACAAAGTTGAACGAAATAGTAAGCTAAAGTTGCCACTTGACATATCTGGTAAGGGACTTAACTACGGATATCGTCATAACGAATTCTTACGAGTAATGTAATTTATGTTACTATGTTACGGTTTAACGCTATGCCAACTGAACCCTAAATCTAACAAAGACACAGGACAAATGTGAGCAGGGTGCGCTATTAAAACAATAAATGGAGAATGGACGTAAAACGTTGCAGTGTAACACTCGGCGCTCTCGATGCTCGCTCAAGTAATTTTAATTATGCGTTATAAGTAAATAGTGGTATGCAACACTGTTTCTGATGCAAGAGTTAAACTGGATTTTGGAAAAATCTTTATTCTTTATTTAATTATAAGTGGTAGAGCCATGCTGTAGATATTATTCTTGTACCACAAATAGGTCGGTTCGACCGGAGTAGGACCTCGCTCTCACAGAATACCAGCGTGAAATAGCAGCTTAACTCTGCTGTGTTCATATGGTGAGAACCGGTGACCCTTATTTTTTGAATTAAAGCATTTCATCTTAGCCCTCAAGGGTGACAACGCATCTGCATTTCGATTCTTAATTAAAGAAAGATGTAGGTACTTATGAGCCACAGCATCCACTTACCATCAAGTAAATAGCAGTACCAGCGTGAAATAGCAGCTTAACTCTGCTGTGTTCATATGGTGAGAACCGGTGACCCTTATTTTTTGAATTAAAGCATTTCATCTTAGCCCTCAAGGGTGACAACGCATCTGCATTTCGATTCTTAATTAAAGAAAGATGTAGGTACTTATGAGCCACAGCATCCACTTACCATCAAGTGGACTATGTGCTCGTTTGTTACCCTTACTCAAAAAAACATGCGTGAGTGTCGTGGAACACTCGGTTAAGACGAAGTTTCTTTCTTAGTACTATATTATTGATTAAGAAATACAAATAAATAAATTACTAGCATCTATTAAAATGAAGCGTCATTTAAAATAAAATATTTCTTTCATGGCAAGATAAGAAAAATTGCGAGGGAGATGGATATTATTCCATCTTGCTCGCACTGTAGAAAGGGGGTCGTGACAGAAAAATCTTATACTTTTCTCACCCCCATCCGTCCAATCCGTCCCGTGCGATAAGGAATTTCGTTCCAAAAATGTTTGTATATCATGGACCGTTTTAATTTATATTATACTATTAAAATTTGTTTTTACTCCTATCCCTACCCTTGGCACGTGCATGTGTTAAATTAACTCTTTTAGCCGACCTCAAAAAAGTTGAAGGCTTGCATTTCGTTTGTATGTATTTTATTGTATGTATGTTTTTGATTATCATCATCAAATAGCTTCAGGGATGGTGCTATATAATATAATATACCATTTAAAAAATCTTTCCCTAAGAGAACCGAAATAAAATATGAAGTTATAATGTAACTATTTACACTATAGCTGTTACATTAAGCTTGTGATATTCCTCAGTCCATTTAAAAGGGTTAAGTCATTCAGAAGTCGATGTTAAGATATAGTGTAATGTTAAGATATAGCGTATACAAGAATTAAAGCAGCAACTTCGTTAGCTGTTATGTGGAAGTTATCTTTTCCTCATTTTTTCCTGTTTATCATTTAATCCATTTTTTTAATTTCATACTTCACTACATCAATGGTAAAGCTAATTTTGTATTTTGGAGTTTTAAATATAAATAATATAATGAATAAAATAATAGAACTATGAGAGTGATGGCATAGAAAAGCAAACTATGCCTAGTAATAATAAAAACTACTAAGACACTATAATCTTGTCTTGCGCACATGGTTCCTGGAAGATTCCACTGAGATTGGCCACCATGACCGAAACTCGGAGGATGACACTAACTTAAATAATATATTATGTTTTATAAATAAATAAACTTAACCGAATAAGTTCTGTTATTTTAGAGAAAGAAAAACCAATCAGTAAAAATTCTACATGCATACCTTGTAGAAACCAATTTGTATTTGTTCTCGTCATTTCGCCTGGTCTAAAAGTTGTAAAATTTAATTAAACCTATGTGCGGTTGTCTAATAGGGACTTAGATTCGAACGTTAAGATTGATAATTTTTTTTTA